TAATTTCTCTTTATTCTGAAGAAGGCGAAGGGAAAGGATGGCTCAGGTGTCACAGCTAGTGCAGGATGCGCTAACCCGCAAATCAGCTGACCAGACCAAGACTTCGGCCAAGAGATGGTCGGCAGTTTTGTTTTTGTTCGTGGCCATTCTCTTCCATCTCTTGTGAGTATGGGGATTTTTTTATTTAATATGTTTATTTAATTGTCACTTTACCCTGAATGTGTGTTGATATATTTGTGCAATTGATATGTTTTATTTTAATTTAATAACCATTAACTTCAGGAAAGAAGAAAATGAACATTATAACTGCAGCAGCAAGACATGGTGGTGGACTTGCCTCTTCTTATGTGTAGCTGCATTTGTTGTGTTGCTGAAGCTTATAATGTCATACGTTGCAAGCTATCTGAAGCTCTCGCCAATTGAAGTCACTGACAAACAGAGATCTCTGCTTGCCATTGGAGAAACAGGTTTGTTTACTGTAAAGTTTAAAGTTTGCTTTGATTCTAATTTTGTTTAAAGGTGTGACTTGTAAATTTGATATGAAAAAGGTTACTTTATTAACTATATTGAAATGAATCTTTGGAAGTGCTAAGGTGCTAAGAAGACCTGTTTCTAGGCTAATATATATATAAGAATATCAAATTAATCTATAATATGTGAAAAAAAGGACTTCAAAATTTCAGACTAGGGATAGTTTAGTTTAAAGAGTGTAAACATAATAAAATATTAACATTACACATTTCTTTCCTAGATCTTGGGTTTAAACCAGCAACACCCAAGAAAGCAAGCTCAACTCCAGTCGTAGACAAATCCATATCCTTATCATCGTTATTTGGAGCTACACTGCGCACTCCCACCCCTATGAGTCCTCCTGGGGCAGTGACACCTGTGAACCTGACAGGCGGTTCGTGGGGGAATCTCTCCTCACGCAGTTTGTCACCATCACTGCAGACCCCTGGTTCCTCACCCACCAGTCCAGGTATATTATGTTGCATTTTGGTGGGAGTGATTTGACTGCATATCAAGAGTAGTTTTAGAAAGGCCTGGAAATGTGTAAGAATATGGGGACAACTTTCTTTAGGAAATATTCATGAAAATTTTAGTAATTTTTTGAATACAAAAAGAAATGCTTTTCAGTCTTTGCAAATCATTCATGCTAACTGCATTTGAAATAGGGGTTTTGCTGATTAAAAATCTTTTGGGTAGCATGAATTTGAAGCAATGGGTAGGCAAAAATTGGATTTCCCCCCTTCAGATGATAAAAAAAAAAAATAAAATCTAGTCTTGACTTTTACCATTAATTGTTGTACATTGGATCAATAAAGTATTCTTGTCACATGAAGACACCATATACATTTTGCTTATTAACTTTTCCTTCTCTCTTAACAGCTATCAACTTCAGCATGTCAGGCAGCAGCTCAGGGTCTGTCACAGCAAATTCGTGGGCTTTCCACTGCAATCAGTCTTCCATCCTTGACTCTTCCTATAATGTCTTGGCTGTAAGTGAAAATTACTATTTTATATGTTTCACTGACTGCTGGAAAATCTTATTTTGTCATATTTATGTAATGTGTGGGAATATTTTGTTCTTGTCAGGTTTAGGGGTATATTTTAGATTTTTACTTCGTTTTATATTTAGTTCTGAGAGTATATTTTGCATCATGAAAAAGAATGTATGCAAGGCAATTTAGAGTATTAGTCTCCTTCCTTTTGAAATGTCATATATGGTAATAAGTTTCCTTTCCTCCACAGAGCCCACAGCATCACATGTTTTCGCCATCACAACTCTCAGATTCCCTGGTTGGTAACCGGCTAGGTGGGGGTGCCAGCAGTCCACCATCACCCTCCATGTATGGCCCCCCTATCACTGATAATGCAGAACTCCAGGACTACTTGCAGCAATACAAAGAGAAGGAAAAGTTGAGGCAGATTAGTAAGTAAAACTTGTTTTATTTATGAAGTTAATTGCTTAAGAAGAGTTGTAAGTTTGCAGTGTGAATAATATCAGCTGATCAGAAGTCACAATGTAAGATTTTCATTGAGGTATAGTTTATAATTTTCCCCTTCTCAGTGTCACAGTCAGAGAGCAGCAATGGCATGAACAGTTCCCTGTGGGCTTATGGTGGTTCTCCATTGTCACAGCTGTCAGATTACAGCAACCTCCTCCGCAAAAACATCTATCAGGCTGCCACCAAAGATACAGGTAAATTTCCGCATTCTAAATTGTTGAGTGATTTTACTTGTGTATGATACTTTTTTAGTCTGATATTCTTCTGAACATTTTATATATGATTACACTAAGTTGACCAGACAACCACTCTAATATTATGTAACACTGCATAACAGGACTGGAGACTAATTCTACTGATAGTAAGAATGATGATTCCAAGGCATCAACACTTTGCAGTAGTAGTGTTAGCAAAATATGGCGGAAAAGAAATGTTACACCTGAGGAGCTGTTCCAGGTAAGTCTTGTGATGGTTTTCCTGGTATTTCTGATTAATGGTTGAATATGATTTATGACTGTACAGAGGAACAGACTTTAGTGTGGCCTTTTTGTATGTACCCCTTATTTGTTTCTCTGATCTTCCTTCATATCCTCTTGTTGTGTTTCTCTCTTCTACACTTTTGTCCACTTTATTAATTTCTCTCTCCTCCATTGCCTTATATTATGGTAAATGTTTACATGATATCTCTTCCTGAGCAGTTTACTGAAAATCTACGTATCTGGATGTCGGCAAATCTTCTAGTTCCACTTGTAAAAGATATTGACAGTACCAATAAGGCCTTGAGTGCTGCAGCTCCAGAGATACAGATTGGGTGTGTTGGTGTCGATAAACTGAAGAAGACAGCACAGAACATTTCAGGAGTAAAACAACTGTCAGATGTAAGTTGAATTTTTGTTAATTTACTTTGTTTTGAATGTCTTTATACCATGCAGTATTTTGTGAAAGATCAGAATTGATAGTAGATTTAGCACTATGTATAGAAAAAACATAAATTATTACTTTTTTGTTCTTCATAAATGTATTTCTACTTACAGCTGATCCCCTTCCTGGATATGACAATTCATCAGGATTACCTGGTACACCGGCTGCGGCAGCTCAGTTCAGGAGGTGCTATATCAGCATATCGTTGGAATGGAGGCAGCAGTAACTTCAATGGAAAGCCTTGGAAAGATGAATATCCGACAGATACTGCTGTTAGTATTTGTTGTTATGTAGAGCCTGATTAATGTTGATATGTTTTACTTTTAAATATTATAATGTTGATGTTGTCTTTAATGAAAAATATTGTATTACAGATCCTTCTGCATGTTTTTGCCATGTACATGGACAGACAGCTTCCCCCAGACATCCAGCAGCCAGAGGGAAGGATGTTTTCCAGCACACACTTGATCAAGGCACCTGAAAAGCCAGCCAAGCCTACTACAAGGCCTCTTCTATATCTCACTCAGGTATGGAAATGATATGCAGAATTCTGGAATGGGATGCCTCAATTTTCTTTTTTTTCTTTTTCTTCTTTTTCTTTGTCAAATTTAGTTTTGTGAAGTGGATATTTTGGTATTTGGGGTAGCATTATTTAGCAATTATTGGGACTACCTAACTTCAGAAAGGCCTGTAATGCCAAATTTTGGAGATATATATATATATATATATATATATATATATATATATATATATATATATATATATATATATATATATATATATATATATATACAGGTTGTAGGAAGAACAACGAAGGGAAGTTCAGGAAAACACACAAATATGCCGAAGGCCTTTTCGCATTTACTGCTTCATCAGGGCATGATGAAGCAGTAAATGCGAAAAGGCCTTCGGTATATTCGTGTGTTTTCATGAACTTCCCTTCGTTGTTCTTCCTACAATTTGTTTGACATGAATTCCACAAATATATATACATATTTTTAGGGATATTTTACTCCTTCAAGGTAGCTCAGTGTAATCCGAAATTAAGAAAGATATCTTGTAGAAATTTATATTCCTACTTACTGTGCAAAATACCAGGATTTGGATTGGTTGACTGATACAATTGCACTTCCTCAGGTAAATCCCCCCCACCTGAAGGTAGTTCTCCCGCCTGATGAGGAGTGTGAAGTCGGCAGTGGCAGAAATAACTTAATCCACGCCCTCCTCCTGTTCATTCATCATGTGACACATCAACAACACTCGCGCATCGCCAACATCAACCTCACTATGTCTGGAGTAAACCTGACTTGGGTGGTGAGGAAGAGCTGAAAATAGGGTGCTATAGTTATCAATGTAAAAACTTTTTATTTTAGATGCTATTGTTCACAGCAGTATTATTGACTATGGAATTTAGACAATTCTTGTATTGACAGTGAAGTGACCTTTACCATTTGATCCTCTTTGTTTTATGATTACCTTTTATTACTAATTTCTCTGCATCTCATTTGTTGTTGTTGTGAAAGCTATTAATGCCAAAGTAGATTATAAGAACCATTGTGTAAAATGTCTTGTTTGTATTATGGTTGAAGTTGATGATTTCATTTATTTCAGTGTTGCATTTTTTTGCCTAAACAGTGTTAAAAGTGAAAATCATGAAATGGCATATACAAACTGTTTTACAGTGTTCAGGGCTGGGCTGAGCTTTTTTTTCATGTGTTTCTAGATTTGGAAAAATGGTCTGATGTGAGGTTATGTACTTACAGAATTACTAATTGTGTAAGAGACTTTATAGAGACCCAGTGTAGAAATCTATCCCCATTTGAATGATACATTTGTGTGTACGGAGTGATTGCTTGTATGGAAGGTATGGTTGTCTGTTGCGTTTGATCCATCTCTTTGTATATTACATGTGTATATCATCTGTGTGGATGCTTTTGTATATGTACATAATCTTTGCATTTACTTACTTATGAATAAATAAGCAAACAACTGAATGAGTCATGTATTGTGTGTACATATTTTCACTACTTTTATGTGACTGTGACATTTAAAAATAAAAAAAGTTAGTTATCATAACTTTCACTCCCATCCATGTTGATATAGACCTTTTATTATCAAACAAATTAGATTTTCTTGGCACCATATTTAATTCTACTAGCAAAACAGCCATTTTGTCTCCCATGTTAAATTTAACAGAATACTTATTTACCCTAGTTTCACTTTTTGTCTGGTTTGTATTAAAACCACCAAATGCTCACAATATAGAAAGGGATTTTTATAGAAGACAAGTTTTAATTATAACAGAACCAAACTAATAATAAATTTGTGAAGTGTCTGGGGGTGCATGTGGATATATTTTATAGAACAAGAACTGTGCACCATTAACCCAATGCCGCTGGGTATGACGTGTACGTACGTGCTATGCCCACCGTGAGTACTTGTTTGATTGTTTTTACGCATAGATGGCAACACGTGTACTAAATCACCAATGAGCCAACTACGAGCACCGCCCGTCTCTCCCATTTACCCCTTTCTTTGATTTATGAAATATTTTACGTTATCTTATTTTGCTGTTACTAATGCTAAAAAACATTATAAAAATTATAATGTTTATGATAAAAATAACACCATCGATTTTCATAGCACTAGTGAAAAATATGTTTTTCCCACCATTTCAAATCAGGCGGTAGCAGAGTCATCTATCGGCAGACATTTCACGAAAAACAGAAAGTGGGCACAGCATTTTCCCCATTTTTTGTTCATTTTCCCCGGCGGCATTGGGTTAAACTGATACAAGTCTAAGGGAATGTCTTGCAAAAGCATCTTGGCAGTGCCATGCACTCTGGCACTGGTCAATAGAATATGTAATGTTGGTGATTGTCGAATGATGTACAGTTTCCTCCATTGAGAAACTTGTTACCTGATCATCTAAGAAACTTGCCTTGTATATATATATATATATATATATATATATATATATATATATATATATATATATATATATATATATATATATATATAATTTTTTTTTTTTTTTTTTTTTTTTTTTCAGCTTAACACAAGTGGTAATGTCATTTATGAAATTTACCAAACGTTATAATAATGTGGCCAAAAATAAAATAAAAACGAATTTTCATGTTATACCAACTTATACCCCTTTTACTGTTGTAAACAAAAAAAAGGAAAGCAGGATGAAAATTCTTCTAAAGAGCTAGTTCATTAACCCAATGCCAATGAGCATGACGTGTACATGTTTGCCATGCCCACTGTGAGTTTACTTGTTTAATTGTTTTTACACACAGATGGCTACACTTGTACTAAGTCACTAGTGAGCCAGTTATGAGTACTGCCTGTCTAGCCTGTTCACCCTTTTCATTGATTTACAAAAATATTTTACATTATCTTATTTTGCTGTTACTAATGTTTATAACATAGTAATTATAATGTTTATAATAAAAATAACACCATCAATATTTGGCAGCAATAGGTTAATCACATGCCGCCGGGGAAAATAAGTAAAAAGTGGGGAAAATTCTGTGTTCATTTTTAATATTTTTGTGAAATGTCTCTGTACATAGATGGCTCTGTTAATGCTTAGCCACAAAGGAGTCAATTAGTTGACCTTGTAACCTTACCTAATTTCACCCTTCCTTGAAATGGCAGTAAAAATGTATTTTTTACTAGTGCTGTGAATATCAATGGTTTTATTTTTATTATAAACATTATAATTACCATAATGTTATGAACATTAATAACAGCAAAATAAGATAACGTAAAATATTTTCGTAAATCAAGGAAAAGGGTAAACAGGCGAGACAAACAGTACTTGAAATTGGCTCTTTGGTGACTTAGTACAAGTGTAGCCATATATGTCTTAAAAACAATTAAACAAATAAACTCACTGTGGGCATGGCATGTACATACATGCCATGCCTGTCTGCATTGGGTTAATAGAAATGTACCCAATTTTTAAGTATATATAATTTGATATTTCTTGAAGATTTAGCTTTTTGTTGGCCTTATGTGCATTATTTAGCTCCCAACTTGGTCAACCAGCAAGGTCCAAAACAACTTGTGACAAAAGAAAGAGAATAAAATAATGTTATTAAAGCAAATACAAAACCTAAACACAATACCTATTTTGCTACTTGAAATAATTCATTCTAATTTGTTCCTTTCATGAATTCCCTTCATTATCTGCCACTCCAAGTGAAAATCCTACTACTTATTCTAAATAATGATTAAAACAGTTAATTTTTTGACAAAATAAACATTATAATAATCATAATTTTGGCCATACGTGAGATGATGGAGGAACCTGCTTCTCGTATATTTAATAATTTTATTATAAATTTGGCCAAATCAGCTATACCAAGGAACCTGCTTCTTCCTGTACGTTTAATAAATTCTATTCTTTACTCCATATAATTCAACTTTTATCTAAAGAAATACAAACAATGTTCTTGCTACTTCTTGTCTACGAAAGGCATATCTCAGGACCTTCAGTTCAGTGTATAGTTAATACATATATATTACATGGAAGGATTTTGATTTGTCTAATTTGAATTGCCTAATTCAAAACAATTACATACATTTTATATATAACAGAAGGATAGATGAAAACAAATTTGCATATTTTCTTTATTAGAAGTGATCTGAATTGAAAATCCACACTAATTCACCAATGCAATACCTTTAACAATAGTAAAAGATGTCATCATATTTCATTAAACTTTGCAGAAAAGGATAAATTTGGGCACAATTTTCAACATCTAATATCTTAAATGTGACAATATTATCCTCCTGAAATGGCAGCTTTTTTAACATCACTATTATCACTACCTATATCAGATTTTTTTTGTTCTTGCTTCTGGTCTGCCGGACAAGTTTCTGCTTTTGCAAATTCGACGGAATATTTCTGATACACTTCTGTTAGAGCTGCATTGATGGGGACTTCCTTTTCCTGTGAAATGAAATCGGGAAAAGAAGTGAATTGTACTAAGAATGGTCTAAATGATGATTAATTATGGGTGACTGATGATAAGAGAATGGATGACGATTTATGATTAGTAATGACGATGATGATTTATGATGATAATAACAATAATGACAACAATAAAAATATATAGACAAATAAAAATGGATTTGAATAAATTATTTTGTTATTCTATATCATGGACTGTTCAAAACATCTTTGATATTCTACAACAATGATTTAAGAAAAATCATATTCTTACTCCTACAAAGATGATTCAATGATATTGCTTTTATGAACTGCAAATATAACAGAAGAATTGGAACTTATTCAACAATTTGTTTTAAGAAGAAAAATTCATACATGAGTATTCACTGATTTAGTATATCAATTAGCATATTCTTCTGGTAAATCATGTACTGCATTTATGACATCTCTTCATTACAGCAATCATAGGTATCATAAGTTGGAATGACAATTTGTCTACTAGTTTTTTAAAACCTACTTTATATATATTAATAAAATCCTTGTAAATTCTGTTACAAGGCAATCCCATTACAAAGCCAGCATATCTCAAGTCTTTGATATATATATATATATATATATATATATATATATATATATATATATATAATAAATACATATATAGAAAAAGAGATGAAGACAATAAAAAATCACCTAATCAGGCAAAAACAATCACTCCCTGTTGAACACCCTACCTGAATTTCCTTCCAGATTTTTTCTAGTTTCTTAAGGTTGTTTGCCCTCCTGAGCCTTCTTAGGAAGATATACTGATCAAGTTCAGCTTTGGTCATCAAATTGCAGCCTGTTACTTCACACAAGTTTTCTGCCTGCGATCTGAAATAGCCATGAAGTCAATCTTCCTCCTACTAATTTTTGGGTGGACTGTATACTTTATCATAGCATCCTTGTTATTTCTGAAACTTTATATGCATCATGTAATATTGTTATACTATATTAACACAACTGGTGCGGTGGCAAGAATACATGCCATACCCACTGTAATATAAGTTCATCAACTGTCTTCAAACATAGATAGCTCTACAAGTGTTTACTTATCTAGGAGTCAATTATAAGTCCGATCAATCTGACCTGTTTACCAATTTCCTTGATTTTTTGAAAGCTTCATTTGTATTATATTACTGTCTTTAAGGTTATTAACATTTTAATATTCATATTATCAAACAGAATAATAACAATATGAATAATATTAAAAAGAAAAATATATTTTCCCGCAAATTCAAGGAAGGGGGAAATCAGTCACTAGGGCCTACTGGGGACAGTACATAAACCCACTGTCATTGGGTTAATAATTTTCTTTATAATTTTCAGTATAATAAAATATACTAGCTTTACATGCATATCTGTTGTTTTCCTCGACAGAATTCAAATTTTTTGTCTTCAAATTTCCCTTACGAACTCTAACTGTAGCCAAGTTCTATTCATTATTCTCTAAGTATGCTAACCCACTGGTGCCAAGCAAGTGCACTGTCTACTATGTCTTTGTTAATTCATTTGCACATAGATGATTGCACAAGTACTTTGTCATCAAGGAGTCAATTATTTGGCTTGACTGATCTCATTTGTTTACCCTATTCCTTAAATTACCAGGAAAAGGTTATTCTATTACTATTATTATCTCTGTTATTGGTGTCACTATTCATATTAACATTATCAAGTTGAGATAGACTAAGCACTTCCAGAGGCATCTACGTGTAAACAAAATTGATAAAACAAATTGACAGTGGATGGTGCATATATACATAAACTTTTAATTTTTACTTAACTATCAAATATTTTAATTACAATGAGAGAAAAAAAGAAAAAAGAGAGAGAAAAAAATTATAACTCATAAAAATGCACATTATCTGTCAAAATCCACTCTTATTCCTTATATTCAAATTTTTCTTTACCTATTTTCACTAATTTCCCACTGTGAGCTTCCCCTTTGAATACCATTGCAAAAAGGTACCATTACCTCTCCAAGCCAGAATGGAAACGAACACCAGCTTTTTTCTCTATGTATTCCATAGGAACTTGAAACTCCTTCAGGTGATGGGAATATCCGATGGGC